GGGGGGGGGGGGGGGGGGGGGAATGATGTGTGTGCACCGTACCACTGGTCGGGCTGTCCGTCGGTGGAGGTGCCGATGCGGGGCAGGTGGACCGACGCACCCAAGGGGCGGGCAGCCTGAGAGAGAGACAGAAAGGCAGACAGACACACAGACAGACAGACAGACAGACAAGAGAGCAAAGGCGCGTGTGAGGGATGGGGATGGGTGCGATCCATCATGTGGTGTGGCGCCAGTCAGTGACCTGTGCGACTTTGAGGAGTCCGGTGCGGAAGGCAGACAGGTCGATGGGCGACCGGGTGCCACTCGACTCGGAGTATTTCTGGTGCACAGACACAGCATACAGACACATTCATCACGAACGAACTGGTGCCTCCCTCTGCCACATGCATCTCTCCTTCCTTCCTGCCTGCCTGGCAGATGGCGAGTGCGACGTGTATGTCCCCGTCGACATCCAGCAGGTGGACGTCACCCACTCGCAGATCGCCCATCTCCTTGGCCTACACGAATGAATGCCCCCATCCATCCATCCATTTCGCACACACATGGCACGCCACACGTGCCATGCTGACTGACGGTGGGGCCGTCCGATCGTCATTCATGTGGGTGGGGTGCGTACCAGCTCATAGTGCGGCCCCAGCTCCTCAGACAGCTCGTTTAGAGCACGACCGAACCCACGGTTGTTCCAGCTAAACACACACACACACATGGACACACACACACATGGACAAAACGCATTGTTCTCTTCCACCCAGACTGGTCCCCCTGCCGAACCAGCAAGCACACCTACCTGCCCGAGTTGTCAAGTACGTGCAGCACGATGGCGGGCATGCGCTCGGTGGGCTTGGCCGCATTGCCACGCACAAAGTGCAGGTAGTCGGCCTCGAGGGCCGCATCGCCCCCGCCGCCCCCGCCGTCCTGGTCCATGCCCATCATCTCTTCATCTTCCCCTTGGTCGGTGATGAGGTCCTCTTCTGTCGACGGCTGCTCCCCTTCAGGCACGGCCTCGAGAGTGATGCTGAGGGACGTGTAGTTCTTTTTCCTCCACTTGTCCAACTTGCGCTGCTCCTTCCGAGCCTGGGGGGGGGGGG